CCTCCCGGGTTCAAGCGATTCTCCTGCCTCAGCCTCACGAGTAGCTGGGATTACAGGCATGTGCCATAATGTCTGGCTAGTTTTTTTTGTTTTGTTTTCTTTGTATTTTTAGTAGAAATGGGGTTTTGCCATGTTGGTCAGGCTGATCTTGAATTCCTGACCTCAGGTGATCCATCCGCCTTGGCTCCCAAAGTGCTGGGATTACAGGCGTGAGCCACTGTGCCCAGCCAAGAACACTAATATACAATATCCTATAAGAGCATGGGGGTTTGTGACAGAAGAGAGGTAAAACTATTGTCTAACATATGCTTTATGTGGTCAGGACCCCTTAGAATTGTTGATATGACTGGGGACCTTTGTCGATTATAGGAAAGATAGGTTACACTACAAGATGACCATGAAACAAGAAGAGTAGGATGGGACATTGAGAGATTTCATGGAAGTAAAATGGTCAGTCACTAGAGACTGCATATGTGGTAGAAAGAAATGGAGGGGGAATGATGATCACCTCTCTTTTGAAAGGTAGTAACTGTTGCATATCACAGATTATTGAACATAGGTCTTATTTTTGGAAACTGAAGAGAGAATGGTTACCATAGAGGACAGTCCATCAAAAGAACCAGAGTAGAGTGTTCTTATAAGGGATTCACATTTGGCCCGAGATTGCATTTGATACTCTTTTATTTAGAATATATTATACTTCTCATGTCTTAGTAAAATATAATTATTTTTAGTAACGCTGAATAAATCATGTGCCTTCTGTCAACCCAAGCATATCCCACCTCATTGGGACACTTAAACACTATAATACATCATTAGACTCTCAAGGTTGAATGTCATCTATAACAATTTCTATCCATGTTATGTTCAAACAGTATACAATTTGAGAAATACATATTCATAATTTGCACTTGAAATATTTTCTCCATACTCTGCCCCAGATGTCTTCTATGGCTATAATGCAAATGCCATGCCATAGTGGTACAATATCAGACCCCCTGAAACCTGCCTTCCCATTCATGAATGTGCACTGTGCGATCATATTTCTACATGCCTTTTTTCTACATAACTTTCTGCATGCTGTACCTCCTTTTACATGAGAGGAAAATACAAATGTAAGCATATGAAAATTATTAGTAAATAAAATTTCTGAAATAATAACACAACTTCTTTTTTTGTACTTGGAGCACTCCATGAAATAATTTGAAAAAAATCAGTGTTCATGAGTTTCCTCTTAATAATGAACGTAGAAAATGGAATTTTTTAAAAAATAAACTAGAAACCTCATGTATTTAACATTTTTTTTTACTGATTTGCACTTGTCACCACTCCACTAGAACAGGAGGGAACCCCATACAAAGTTTGGTTTAGATTTCAGGATCGGTGCTACTCTACATCAAAGTATTATAAGAATGTTTATTACAAAAGGCTTTCTGGAGAGAACAGGGTAGACTTCCCAAGCTGGTGGCTAGAGAAGGCAGTGAAAGATGACTGACTTGGGGTGTTATGATGTTTATCTGGTAGGGCTGGAGTGAGTACTCATCTGTGGTTTAAATATCCCACTAGCCAGCTGGGCATGGAGGCTGACATCTGTAATGTCAGCACTTTGAGAGGCCCAGGTGAGAGGCTTGCTTGAGTCCAGGAATTTGAGACTAGCATAGGCAACATGGCAAGACTCTGTCTCTACAAAATTTAAAAATTAGTTGGGCATGGTGGCACATTTCTATAGTCCCAGCTACTCAGGAGGCTGAAGCAGGAGAATTCATTGAGCTCAGGAGTTGGAGGTTACAGTGAGCTAGGATCATGCCACTGCACTCCAGCCTAGGTGACAGAGCAAAGCCCTGTCCAAAAAAAAAAAAAAATCAATTTCTAGGCCAGGCACAGTGGCTCATGTTTGTGATTCTAACACTTTGGAAGGCCAAGATGGGCAGATCGCTTAAACCCAGGAACTCGAGACCAGCCTGGGCAAACTTTGTCTCTATAAAAAACACCCCCACCCAAAATTAACACTTGTTAGTACCTCGTAACTTCATTCATTCATTCATTCGTTTATTTATTTATTTATTTATTTATTTATTTATTTGAGATAGAGGCTAACTCTGGTGCCCATTCTGGAGTGCAGTGGAGCAATCTCAGCTCACTGCAACCTCCACCTCCCAGGCTCAAGTGATTCTCCTGCCTCATCTTCTCGAGTAGCTGGGACTACAGGCATGCACCACCATGCCTGGCTAATTTTTGTATTTTTAATAGACACAAGGTTTTACCATATTGGCCAGGCTGATCTTGAATTCCTGACCTCAAGTGATCTGCCTGCCTAGGCCTCCCAAAGTGCTGGGATTACAGGTGTGAACCACCATACCCAGCCTAGTACCTCATCACTTTGTGTTGCTGAATAATATTCTACAGTTTGTCTATTGATTCATTGTTTGATGGAGATTTGAACTCTTTCTACTCTTTGAAATTAGGCTATTATGGGCCGGGTGCAGTGGCTCATGCCTGTAATCCCAGCACTTTGGGAGGCCGAGATGGGCAGATCACGAGGTCAGGAGATCGAGACTGTCCTGGCTAACACGGTGAAACCCCGTCTCTACTAAAAATACAAAATATTAACCGGCCTGGTGGCGGGCACCTGTAGTCCCAGCTACTCGGGAGGCTGAGGCAGGAGAATGGCATGAACCCGGGAGGCAGAGCTTGCAGTGAGCC